CCACTGCACTCCAGTCTGGGCGACAGAGTGAGACTCCAACTCAAAAAAAAAAAAAGAAAAGCTACTTTAGGGTTAATGAGGAATAACCCCCAGGTGCAAGTTTCCAAGCATTTAAAGACCTCATGTACTTTTGACTGTATCTGATAGGGACCTCTTAAATGGATGGGTGCCTTGTTCTACCTGTCTATATCTTTGTGGTGAGGTGTGTTGCAAAACATTGGGCTAAAAGTAAAACTAGATTCTGGTCATACATTGCCATTAATCAATGAGTTGACCTTAGCATGCCTTAACTCCAGTTTCTTAGATAATCTCAAAAGTCTTTTTTGAAACCATGACTTATGACTGCATAGAAGAAATTCAGGCATGACTACTCCTTCTTTGTCTCATGGAACAAACTCTGTGTGGCTTTAGAAGTACATATTGGAAAATAATTTACAACTAGCATGCAGATAGCAACCTAGAGCTCACCACTTAATGCAGTTCCTACACAATCAAAAGTTCTTTTAACACATCACAGTCAATGAAAATGATAGTCACCGGCCGGGCTCAGTGGTTCAGCCTGTAATCCCAGCGCTTTGGGAGGCCGAGGTGAATGGATTGCCTGAGGTCATGAGTTTGAGACCCGCCTGGGCAACTTGGCAAGACCTCATCTCTACAATAAATAAAAAAACTAGCTGGGCGTGGTAGCGCATGCCTGTAGTTCCAGCTACTTGGAAGGCTGAGGCGGAAGGATTGCCGGAGCCCAGCCGGTCGAGGCTGTGGTGGCCGGGAGTGTGCCACTGCACTCCAGTCTGGGCAACAGAGCGAGACTCCGACTCAAAAAAAAAAACAGAAAGAAAATGATAGTCACCATCTAGACAGTTCTTCTAGAGGCTAAGGCTAAACCAGCTTGAAGATGTTTTCTCTTCTGAATAATATCTGTTGTGTTTGTCCTTTGCCAAGGTTTTGTGACTCCCCCACCAGTGACTTGGAAATGCGCAACGGTCGAGGTAGAGGCAAACGCATGCGTCCCAACAGTAACACACCTGTCAATGAGACAGCCACAGCCTCTGACAGTAAAGGAACCAGTAGCAGCAGCAAAACCCGAGCAGGAGCCAACAGCAAAGGCCGGCGGGGCAGCCAGAATTCCTCAGAGCATCGCCCACCTGCCAGTAGCACCTCTGAGGATGTCAAGGCCAGCCCGTCCTCAGCGAACAAGCGGAAAAACAAACCCCTTTCAGACATGGAGCTGAATTCCAGCTCGGAGGACTCCAAAGGGAGCAAGCGTGTCCGGACCAACTCCCTGGGCTCAGCCCCTGGCCCCATCCCTGGGAGCAAGGTGGAACCCACTGTTATGGACAGAAATTGTCCCTCCCCAGTCCTGATTGACTGTCCCCACCCAAACTGCAACAAGAAGTACAAGCACATCAACGGACTTAAATACCACCAAGCTCATGCACATACAGATGATGACAGCAAGCCAGAAGCAGATGGAGACAGTGAGTATGGAGAGGAGCCCACCCTCCATGCAGACCTTGGGAGCTGCAATGGTGCATCTGTGTCTCAGAAAGGGTCCTTGTCCCCTGCCCGCTCAGCTACCCCCAAAGTTCGGCTTGTGGAACCTCATAGCCCTTCTCCTTCAAGCAAATTCAGCACAAAAGGCCTTTGTAAGAAAAAGTTGAGTGGGGAAGGGGACACAGACCTCGGCGCCTTATCCAATGATGGCTCTGATGATGGACCCTCTGTGATGGATGAAACAAGCAATGATGCCTTTGATTCTTTGGAAAGGAAGTGTGTGGAAAAAGAAAAATGTAAAAAACCGTCTAGTTTGAAACCCGAAAAGATTCCTCCCAAGAGCTTAAAGTCAGCCCGGCCCATTGCCCCTGCCCTGCCCCCACAGCCTGTCTACACCTTCCAGACAGCCACCTTCACTGCAGCAAGCCCAGGCTCGTCCTCCGGCCTGACTGCCACAGTGGTGCAAGCCATGCCTAACAGTCCCCAGCTCAAGCCCATTCAGCCCAAGCCCACTGTCATGGGAGAACCTTTCTCAGTCAACCCTGCCTTGACTCCAGCCAAGGACAAGAAAAAGAAAGACAAAAAAAAGAAGGACTCTTCAAAAGAGCTTGAGAGCCCTCTGACCCCTGGGAAGGTGTGTCGTGCCGAAGAAGGCAAAAGCCCGTTCAGGGAATCATCAGGAGATGGGGTGAAAATGGAGGGACTCCTGAACGGCTCGGCAGACCCCCATCAGAGCCGACTGGCTAGCATCAAGGCTGAAGCTGACAAGATTTACAGCTTCACGGACAACGCCCCCAGCCCCTCCATCGGAGGCAGCAGCCGCCTAGACACCACCACCCCCACCCAGCCCCTGACTCCCTTACATGTGGTCACCCAGAACGGAGCTGAAGCTGGCTCGGTCAAAACCAACAGCCCCGCATACTCCGACATCTCTGATGCTGGGGAGGATGGGGAGGGCAAGATGGACAGTGTCAAACCAAAGGACACTGAACAGCTGGGTAAGGAAGGGGCCAAGAAAGCCCTGTTCCCCCCCCAGCCACAGAACAAAGACTCGCCGTACTACCAAGGCTTTGAGAGCTACTACTCTCCGGGGTACCCACAGTCCAGCCCAGGGACCCTGAACCCCAGCAGCCAGACAGCCTTGGAGAGCCAGGCCCTGAAGACCAGACAAGACGAGGAGCCTGAGAGCGTGGAGGGGAAAGCAAAGAGTGACGTCTGTGAGGAAAAGAAGCCGGAGCTGAGCAGCTCCAGCCAGCAGCCCTCAGTCATCCAGCAGCGCCCCAACATGTACATGCAGCCCCTGTACTATAGCCAGTACGCCTACGTGCCCCCCTACGGCTACGGTGACCAGAGCTACCACACCCACCTCTTGAGCACCAGCACAGCCTATCGGCAGCAGTACGAAGAGCAGCAGAAACGGCAGAGCTTAGAGCAGCAGCAGCGGGGCCTGGACAAGAAGGCCGAGATGGGCCTGAAGGAGCGGGAGGCAGCACTCAAGGAGGAGTGGAAGCAGAAGCCGTCCGTTCCCCCCTCTCTCACCAAGGCCCCCAGCCTGACAGACCTTGTGAAGTCAGGGCCTGGCAAGCCCAAGGAGCCAGGGGCTGACCCAGCCAAGTCAGTCATCATTCCCAAGTCAGACGACACTTCAAAACTCCCCAGTCAGACCCCTGAAGGCCTCAAAGTGAAGCTGAGTGAGGCCAGCCACCTGGGCAAGGAGGCCTGTGAGGCTAAGACAGGTGCTGAGTGTGGGCGACAGGCAGAGGTGGATCCCATACTCTGGTACCGGCAGGTAACTATTGCCCTGGGAGGAGATGGAAGTCCTGTTTGGCACCTTTTTGTCCTCCTCACCAATCAGGGCTATCCTTCTACAAGGGTTCAACGGAGTTGGGATTAGCAGGAAAGATGTATAATTTTATGGGTTCTTTCCCTTTGTAAAAAAAAAAACATTTTGATGTTGTTCAAAGAAACTCTTATATCTGTAAAAGGTATTTTTTCTATCTGACAAAAAAGGCCCAGATAAGTTAGTTTCATTTGTCTAGGGTTGCTTGAGTCTTCACTAGCAAAACCAGGACTAGAAGCTGGGTCTCTTAGTTCAATGTTTTTCCACTGCTTGGTTCCTGTGAAATATGTTATTGGTAATCTCTCCATTTTTATTTTTATCTTTTTAGTTTTTGGCCTGGTGTCTACAACAAAAAGTTGTCCAGACTGCGGTGCAGTGATGTGATCATAGGTCATTGCAACCTCAAACTCCTGGGCTCAAGCAGTCCCCCTACCTCAGTCTCCCAAGTAGCCTGGCTAATTTTTTTTTTTTTTTTTTGGTAGAGATGAGGTCTCGCTATTGCCCAGATTGGTCTTGAGTTCCTGGTCTCAAGTGATCCTTCCACATTGGCCTTCCTAAGTGCTGGGATTATAGGCATGAGCCGCTTCATCTGACCCAGTCTCTCTCCATTTTTTATAACAGGTCAGAAGTATACCACACAGTTACTGAACTTGTTTTTTTTTAAGTTTTATAAGTAGAGTTGGAGCTAAGAACTTGGAATCTCACATCTTGCTCTGCTCATGAGACTTAGTACATCTTCCTTTCCTTCTTGGTGCCATAGTTATACCTCCCTCCTCGGACCTGGGTGACACTTATAAGTTTTCCACCCCTGAATTTGTGCTGAAGAAGTGAAACAGATGAAACGTCTTGGAAGGTGATAGGCTCTTCTTTTCCAGCAGTCATCGCCCAGAATGCTTTTCTCGCCTATAGAACACCCACTGATGGGTGATAGATTTTCCTTTTCATTCCCTGCATCTTGTTCCCTGAGGGCAGGGACTTTTTAAGCAAAAGAGACCAGAGCTGGATTATAAACAAGATCGATAGAGGCCAAGATCCTACTCTGACCCAAGTGTCTAGTAATTATCTGCTCTGGTGGGTCTACCGGGACCTTGAGCTTGAAATATATCCTGTCTTATCTTTACAACACTGAGCTCTCGTTCTGTGACTATTGCAGGAGGCAGAGCCCCGGATGTGGACGTATGTTTATCCTGCCAAATACTCAGACATCAAGGCAGAGGACGAGCGGTGGAAAGAGGAACGGGACCGCAAGTTGAAAGAGGAAAGGAGTCGGAGTAAGGACTCTGTTCCCAGGGAAGATGGGAAGGAAAGCACGAGCAGTGACTGCAAGCTGCCCACGTCGGAGGAATCCCGCCTTGGGAGCAAGGAGCCCCGCCCAAGTGTCCATGTGCCTGTGTCCTCCCCCCTCACCCAGCACCAGTCCTACCTTCCCTACATGCACGGCTACTCCTACAGCCAGTCCTATGACCCCAACCACCCCAGCTACCGCAGCATGCCTGCTGTGATGATGCAGAACTACCCAGGTACAGCACCCGGCGCCAGCTGCGCCTCCTTTCACTGGGAAGGGAGATGAAGCAGTTTGCAAAGCCAGAGTCTTCTCGTTCGGCCCTAAGACGTGTTGAGGTTGCTTAGATGACGTCCCTTTTCTGAATGTGTCATTCTGTGAAGTGGCCACTCCAACCTGTAGCTCCTTGAATGACCCATAATTACAGTCTGTGGGACCACCGCTCCCTCCTTGCTCCAGCTTGAGGGTTGCCACTGCAGTCAGTTTTCATTGCTAACCCAAGGTAAAATTCCCTACCACTGCCATCTTCCTGCAGCCAGGGTTGTGAAACATATACTCTACGTTTTGCCATGTGCTAGGCACTGTGGGGAGTACGAAAGAAGTAGAGAAGACTAGCTGCTCCACTCAAGGAGCTTGCCACCTAATTATAGCGGGAGAGACATGTGGAACACATCAATTCAAGCCAGAACAACGGGTGGATTCTGTTATAAGACCATGTTCAGCTGTCAGGGAGAAAGCAGTTTGAAGTCAGACTGAGGGGACAGTCCCGCTGGGTTCAGCCTGGGAAAGATAGCTCTCTAGACTGCTATTGATGAGTTCTTTGTTGGGGGAAGGCACAAAGTAGGGGTTTAAATATTTTTAACTTATTAGAGAAAAATGCTCTTGTCGCCTCTACCGGCTGATGCATGTTGCCCGAAGAGCCCTGGAGGAGCTCTGCGCAGAAGGGCACTGCAGCGCACTTGGTGGAGCTCCCAGCTGCCTGCAAAAGTCTAGTCTTGACATTCTGTAACTTTATTACAAGGCAGATTTTAAATAGGAGAAGTAAGCTTTTTTTTTCTGAGTTGGAGTTTCATTCTGTCACCCAGGCTGGAGGGCAGTGGCATGCTCACAGCCACCGCAGCCTCGACCTGCTGGGTTCAGGTGATCCTTCCACCTCTGCCTTCCAAGTAGCTAGAAACACAAGCATTTGCCACCATGCCCGGTTGATTTTTTTTTTTAATTGTAGAGACGAGGTCTCGCCATGCTGCTCAGGCTGGTCTCGAACCCCGAGCTCAGATAATCCTCTCACATCCACCTCCCAAAGTGCTGGGATTACAGGTGTGAGCCACTTCGCCCAGCTTTTTTTTTTTTTTCCTTTTTTTGAGTTGGAGTCTCACTCTGTCACCCAGACTGGACCTGCTGGGCTCCAGCGATCCTTCCACCTCAGCCTTCCAAGTAGCCGGAATTACAGGCGTGCGCTACCACGCCCGGCTAATTTTTTTATTTTATTGTAGAGATGAGGTCTCGCCTGCCCAGGCGGGTCTCGAACCCACGGGCTCAGGCAATCCACTCACCTCAGCCTCCCAAAGGCATGGGATTACAGGCTGAGCCACCGAGCCCGGCTCTAATTTTTGATTTATTGTAGAGATAAGGTCTCGCCAAGTTGCCCAGGCGGGTCTCGAACCTGCAGGCTCAGGCAATCCACTCACCTCAGCCTCCCAAAGGCGCGGGATTACAGGCTGAGCCACCGAGCCCGACTTTTTTTTCTTTTTTACGAGACAGGGTCTTGCTCTGTGGCCTACGCTGGAGTGCAGCTGTACAATCATAACTCACTACAGTCTCAGACATCTGGGCTCAAGTGATCCTCTCCTGCCTCAGCTTCTCAATTAGCAGGGACTACAAATGTGCACCACCACACTTGGCATTTTTTTTGTTGTTTTTTTGGTAGAGACAGACTTGCCATGTTGCTCAGGCTGGTCTCAAACTCCTGGCCTCAAGCATTCCTTCTGCCTCAGCCTCACAAAGTACTGAGATAACAGGTGTCCACCATTGCGCCTGGCTCATTCCATTTGTTGAGTGCTTACTCTGATCCAGGTGCTATCTTGTGTGATTTGTGTACATTATCTTCTTAAATCTTCCCCATCACCCTATGAAATAAATATTGGTATCTTCATTTTTTATTTATTTTTATTTATTTTTTGAGTTGGAGTCTCACTCTGTTGCCCAGACTGGAGTGCAGCGGCACACTCCCAGCCACCACAGCCTTGACCTGCTGGGTTCCAGCGATCCTTCCATCTCAGCCTTCCAAGTAGCCGGAACTACAGGCGCGCCATTTTTTATTTTTTTATTTTTTGGATTTGGAGTTGCTCTGTCGCCCAGGTTGGAGTGCAGTGGCATGCTCACAGCCACCGCAGCCTCGATAAGCAGTCACATTCCAATAAGGGATCACATTCTAGCTGGGTTCAGGTGATCCTTCCACCTCAGCCTTCCATGTAGCTAGAACTACAGGCATGCGCCACCACACCCAGCTAATTTTTTTATTTATTGTAGAGATAAGGTCTTGCCAAGTTGCCAGGGTTGGTCTCGAACTCATGAGCTCAGGCAATCCTCTTACCTCTGCCTCCCAAAGAGCTGGGATTATAGGTGTGAGCCACCGCACCTGGCCGGTATCTTCATTTTGATAATAAAGAAACTGAAGCTCCATGGAATAAGCATAGATCCTGCTTTAAAAGGGCTATCTTGAAGATACCATCTGAAGATAAATTCTGACTCCAACTTTAGAGGAATCTGACCTTGATGAACAGCAGAAGAGATCATGATGCGTGAAAGCTGTATTTTAAAATTATTTATTAAAAAAATTTTTTTTTTTTTGAGTTGGAGTCTCACTCTATCACCCAGACTGGAGTGCAGTGGCCGCTCCCGGCCATCGCAGCTCTCGACCTGCTGGGCTCCAGTGATCCTTCCACCTCAACCTTCCAAGTAAAAACAATTTTTTAATGTTCTACAGACAATAAAACTTTGCACTGTTTGTAGAAAGTAAAAAAAAAAAAAAGAAACTGAAGCTCAAAAAGCTTGTTAATTTGCTCAAGGTACCCAGCCAGTAAGTTTCAGAGATGGGGTTTGAGCCAAAGTCTATCCAACTCCAACTCCTATGATCTTTCTACTTTATTGTATCACCCCTTTAAGATGAATCTCTGAGACTGGTTCAAAAAACCATTATGCCAGGTACAGTGACTCACACCTATAATCCCAGCATTTTGGGAGGCAGAGACGAGAGGACTGCCTGAGCCCAGGGGTTCGGGACCAGCCTGGGCAACTTGGTGAGACCTCATCTTTATAATAAATCAAGAAAAATTAGCTGGGCATGGTGACGCACACCTGTAGTTCCAGCTACTTGGAAGGATGAAGTGGAAAGGATCACCTGAGCCCAGCAGGTCAAGGCTGCAGTGGCTGTGAGTGTGCCACTGCACTCCAGCCTGGGTGACGGAGTGAGACTCCAACTCAA